ATGTGAGAAATGCTAGAAAAACATCTCTGTCTCTAACAATTTCCCCTTCCAGTAGATTACAACCCAACACCTAGACACTGTATTATTATAAACCTATTTCTCTCCAGCTTACCAACTGTGTTGCTTCATGTCAAGTCTAAACCCCTCAGTGTATTCACTTCCTTCTGTTTACCTACTTTCTTCCCTGGACACTTCAAGATTGAGTCCTTCCATTTCAGCTAGGTAAGCCTGGTGCATTTTCTGTTGAATCTGCCTTCCACATTCTCTTCTGTCTACGTGATTATTTATAATCTTCCAATTTAAAAGCATTTTTACACTCATAGCATCTGTTTTTAACAAATCAAAATTGAAGAACGATCCAAGATGGCCGATCGCTAACATCCTGGGATTGCAGCTCTCAGGGAAGGCGCGGAGAACTAGAGGACGCCACACTTTCAGACAAAGTCTGGTCGCTCAAGGAGCAGAAGATCCCCCAGTGGTGGAAACACACGAGTCGCCAGCGCGACTCTCGTGGTGGGCGCAGCGGTTCCGCCGGCACCTGGTCGCAGCAGCTCGGCGCAGAGTAAACGGGACCGGTTCCCCTTCTGACCGAGGTTTGGAGCCCCGGGAAGGCAGAGTCGCTTACTACGGAAACAAGAAGGAAGCCCGACAGGAGAATCCTGGGCAGAAAAGCACCATCAGTTTTAACGCCGCTGCTCTGGCCCTGGGAACTAACAACCTGGACGCCCACTCAAGAGACCTAATCTGAAAGTTGGTAAATTCAAAGACGACAGGAGGATAAATTTACAATGACGGGAAGAAACCAGCGTAAAAAAGCTGAGAATACTCAGTCAGAACGCCTCTCCCTCTAAAGATGATCACAGTTCCACATCGACACTGGAACAATGCTTGATGGAGAACGAGCGCCTCCTGATGACAGAATCACTCTTCAAGGAATGGATAATAACAAACTTCGGTGAGTTAAAAGACCATGTTGTAGCCCAACGTAAAGAAACTAGGAACTTTGAAAAAAGGTTTGATGAAATCCTATTGAGAATAGACAACTTAGAGAGGAGTATGAGTGAATTAATGGAACTGAAGAATACAATACAGGAACTCCGAGAAGTATGCACAGGTTTAAACATTCGAATTGTTCAAGCAGAAGAAGGGATATCAGAGGTCAAAGTCCAACTTAATGAAATAAAACGTGAAGAAAAGATTAGAGAAAAAAGGATAAAAAGGAATGAGCAAAGTCTCCAAGAAATGTGGGACTATGTGAAAAGACCAAATCTACATTTGATAGGTGTACCTGAATGCGATGGAGAGAATGAATCCAAGCTGGAAAATACCCTTCAGGATATTATTCAGGAAAATTTTCCTAAACTAGCAAAGCAGGTCAACATTCAACCCCAGGTAATACAGAGAACACCACAAAGATATTCCTCAAGAAGAGCAACCCCAAGGCACATAATCGTTAGATTCACCAGGGTTGAAACGAAGGAGAGGATACTAAGAGCAGCCAGAGAGAAAGGTCAGATTACCCACAAAGGCAAGCCTATCAGACTTACAGCAGATCTCTCGGCAGAAACTCTACAGGCCAGAAGAGAGTGGGGGCCAATATTCAACATCCTCAAAGAACAGAACCTTCAGCCCAGAATTTCATATCCAGCCAAACTAAGCTTCACAACTGAAGGAAAAATAAAATCTTTTATGAACAAGCAAGAACTCAGAGATTTTATTACTACCAGGCCTGCTTTACAAGAGCTTCTGAAAGAAGCATTACACACAGAAAGAAACAACCAGTATTAGCCTTTCTAAAAATACACCAAAAAGTAAAGAGCACCAACATAAAGAAGAATTTACACCAACAAATGGATAAAACAGCCAGTCAACATCAAATGGCAGTAACCCTAAATTTAAATTGACTGAATTCCCAATCAAAAGACACAGCCAAAACCCAACGGCATGTTACATCCAGACCTGTTTCACATGCAAGGACACACAAAGACTCAAAACAAAGGGATGGAGAAAGATTTACCAACCAAATGGAGAGCAAAAATAAATAATAAATAAATAAAAAGCAGGAGTTGCAATTCTTGTATCGGATAAAATAGATTTTAAAGCAACAAAGATATAGTGGTAAAAGGATCAATGCAACAACAAGAGCTAACGATCCTAACACCCAGCTAGGAGACTTAGATTCAATGAGACAGAAAATTAATAAGGATATCAAGGACTCGAACTCAGATCCAGAACAAGTAAACTTAATATTTATAGAGCTCTCCACTTCAAATACACAAAATATACATTCTTGTCAATACCACATCACACCCACCCATTAGTTTAAATGAAACATTGACTGGCCATTATTAATACCCAATTTTTTTCAAAATAAAGCAATATTTCCATTTACTCTCCCTCTTTCTCTTCCTCTTTCTTCCTCTCCTTTACTTATTTTTTTTTTCTTTCCTTCTCTCAAAAAAAAAAAAAGAAATCAACTTGTAAACCTCTAGATCCAGGTCGGCAATGTCTCTTTCATTGCTTGATTTCCTTTCTTCCCTTCCCTTCCCTCCTTCCCTCCCTGCTTCCTCCCTTCCTTCCTCCCTACCGTCCTTATTCCCTTCCTTCCTGCCTTCCTCCCCACTCCAAAAAAAAAAACAACAAATCAAAATTGAAATAAAAATATATTATGATTATTAATTTCCTATGAGAAAGATAAAACTGTAAGGTCATAGGATTTGTGCATGTTAAGTTTGAATATAATCTACCAAATTACCCTCCAAAATAGGTTTATCAACAACTACTCCCACCAGCGGAATGTAAAAGTCTATGCTTCCATACATACTTTTGCCCAGGTGAAGTGGTATCTGCTTTAATTTGCATTTCCTCCATTATTGGAGAGGTAGAGGATCTGTTCATGTTTTTACTGGCCGTTTGTGTTTCCTCTAGTCAAATGCCTACTCATATCTTTTTTTTAAGAGATGGGGTCTTGCTCTCTCACCTAGATTGGAGTGCAGTGGTGCGATCATGGCTCACTGCGGCCTCAACTTCTCAGGCTGGAGCAATCCTCCCAACTGAGCCTCCTGAGTAGTTGGGATTGTAGGCATGCCATCACTCCCAGCTAATTTTTTTGTTTTTCTAGATATGGGGTCTCAGTATATTGCCTAGGCTGGTTTTGCCCTCCTGGCCCCAAGCCATCCTCCTCCTGCCTCAGCCTCCCAAAGTGCTGGAAATACAGGTGTAAGCCATTGTGCCCAGCTGTTTATATCTTTTATCCATTCTTCTATTTGGAAGTTTTACATATTTTAAATACCAGTCTTTTTCTTTTCTCTCTCTTTTTTTTTTTTTTTTTTTTGAGATGGAATCTTGCTCTGTTGCGAGGCTGGAGTGCAGTGGTGCAAATCTTGGCTCACTGCAATCTCTGCCTCCTGGGTTCAAGCTGTTCTCTTGCCTCAGTCTCCTTAGCAGCTGGGACTACAGGCACACGCCACCATGCCCGGCTAATTTTTGGATTTTTAGTAGAAATGGGGTTTCACCATGTTGGCCAGGATGGTCTCCATCTCTCAACCTCGTGATCTGCCCACCTCAGCCTCCCAAAGTGCTGGGATTACAGGCGTGAGCCACTGCGCCCAGCCTAGATACAAGTCTTTTTCTGGCTACAGGCATTGCAAAAAATCCCCCCAGTTTGTACATGCCTCAGTCTGCCTTCTACAAGAGTTCCACGAATCATTTAGCTGAAGCAGCCTTCAGGATAGCGTTAGAGGAGAACAGAAGTAGAGAGAGTGCCAGGGTGTCCTACTGCTCTAATTCTTTGGTTGATATTCCTCCATGGGATCGACCTGAGACTTGGGTTTTTGCTAGAATACATCTTGCTGGGATGCATTATTATTTAGCTTAAGCCAGGTCTCAGGCATATGATCTTTATAACCCCAGATTCTGATATTCAGAGCTCCTCACTGGCCTCACTGGTACTCACTCTTTACCCTCCAGGCACCTATCAGTGTATGTATGGAAAGTGTGAAAAATTCAGTTTTTTTTTTAACTTATTTTTTTCTGTTTTGAAATACAGACAGGGTCTCACTATGTTGCCCAGGCTGATTCTGAACTTAAACAATCCTCCCACGTTGGCCTCCCAAAGTGCTGGGATTACAGGTGTGAGTCACCCCGCTGGTCAAGAATTCAGTTCTGTAATAGTCTTATTTTTACTCTAGAATGGCTTCTACTCACCAGAGGATCTGAGTCCAGAGAACTTGGAGTGCTGTCTTTAACTGTCCTATCCTCAGGAGGTGAGGCAATGCTGTGAGGGCCCACGGTGGGTGGGGGCAGGTGGTACAGCTTTGATTGGTCTTGTTGGGCTGACGGCCAGGGAAGTGTGTCCCGGACCCATTCCACTGGGTCCTCCCAAGCGGCTTTCTGTCCATGGACCTGGAAAGAAGGTGAAATAGGATTACTGTGGGGAATTCACATATTAGAGGCTTCTTCACGCAGCCTCTTGGTAGTTCCTACAAAAAAATATGCTCCTTAAAAAATGCGCACTTCCTGGGCAGGCACAGTGGCTCACGCCTGTAATCCCAGCACTTTGGGAGGCCGAGGGGGCAGATCACATGAGGTTAGAAGTTCGAGACCAGCCTGGCCAACATGGTGAAATCCTGTTTCTATTAAAAAAAAAAAAAAAATTAGCCAGGCATGGTGTTGCATGCCTGTAATCCCAGCTACTTGGGAGGCTGAGGCAGGAGAATCACTTGAACCTGGAAGAAAGAGGTTGCAGTGAGCCACTGCACTCCAACCTGGGTGAAGAGGTAAGATGATGCCTTAAATAAAAAAAAAGAAAAAAGTGCACTTCCTCAAATGTAAATCCTCGAGGCTCTGATTTCTATGGAGTTTTCCTGAGTTTTCAAACAAGGAAATAAGTTGGTATAAATTGTAAAATAATTTTGGAGGATAATTTAGCAGATTATATTAAAACTTTTAAAAATATTTAATTTTTATTTTTCTAACTTATTTTATTTATTTATTTTGAGATGGAGTCCTGCTCGTCACCCAAGCTGGAGTGCGATGGCACGCTCTTGGCTTACTGCAACCTCTGCCTCCCAGGTTCAAGCAATTCTCCTGCCTCAGCCTCCCGAGTAGCTGGGACTACAGGTGTGCACTACCACGCCCAGGTAATTTTTGTACTTTTAAGTAGAGACTGGGTTTCACCATGTTGGTCAGGCTGGTCTTGAACCCCTGACGTTGTGATCCACCTGCCTCAGCCTCCCAGAGTGCTGGGATTATAGGCGTGAGCCACTGAGCCTGGCTTATTTATTTTTTAATCAACAAAAATTGTATGCATTTATGATGTATAATATGATATTATAAAATATGTCTTTGCCATGGAATGGCTAAATCAAGTTAATTAACATATGTATTACCTCACATATTTTTTTTTTCCAGAGGGAGTTTTTCTCTTGTTGCCCAGGCTGGAGTGCAATCTTGGCTCACTGCAATCTCTGCCTCCCAGGTTCAAGCAATTCTCCTGCCTCAGCCTCCCAAAGTGCTGGGATTACAAGCGTGAGCCACTGTGCCTGGCTTTATCTCACATATTTTTTGTGTGTGGTGAGAACACTTGAAATCTATTCTCTTAGTGATCTTCAAGTAAATAATACATTGTTATTAACTATAATCAGCGTATTGCACAATATGTCTCTTGAACTTATTCCTCAGGTCTAACTGAAATTTTGTTTCCTTTCACTATTAACATCTCTTCCACCACTCCCATCCATCGACCCCTCTGCCCAGCTCCTGGTAACCATCATTCCACTTTCTGCTGCTCTGCGTTTGACTTCTTTAGATTCCATGTTTAAGTGAGATCATACAGATTTTGTCTTTCTGTGCCTGGCTTATTTCACTTAACATAATGTCCTCCAAGTTTATTCATGTTGTTGCAAATGACAGAATTTCTTTCCCACCCTCTAATGACCCCACCTTTTTTTAAGAGACAAGGTCTTGCTACGTTGCCCAGGCTAGACTTTAACTCCTGGTCTCAAGGGGTCCTCCTGCCTCAGCTTCTAGAGTAGCCACTGGGACTACAGGCGTGCGTTATTACTCCTGGCTTTCAATTTCCTTCTTTTTCACAACTGAGTAGTTTTCTACTGTGTATATACCATATTTTCTTTACTCATTCACCTACTGGTGGATGCCTAGGTTGCATTAAAACTTAACATGCACAGATCTTATGATTCTGCAATTTCATTTTTCAAGTAGGAAATTTTTCCACTTTAGTCATAGTATTTAACTTATTTTTACTTTCTTGAAAACAAACGTTACCTGTGTGAAAATGGTTCTAAATTGAAAAGCTATTAATAATAATGCAACATTTCCTTAAAATAACATACCTTATAAATGCAATAATGATTTCTCGCATCAGTCTGACAGATAGCATCTCTAAAAATTTACTATATCACCAGGAGATATCTATTTTTCTTTTCTTTTTTGAGACATGACTATGTCAGCCTCTTGGTCTAATTTTTGTATTTTTAGTAGAGATGGGGTTTCACCATGCTGGCCAGCCTAGTCTCAAACTTCTGACCTTAAATGATCCACCAAACTCAGCCTCCCATAGTGCTGGGATTACAGCAGGAGGCACCTCAGCCGGCCAAGGTATCTATCTTAATAACAAATTACTTTTACAGATAATATATGACCAACTGGGTCTAGCCGTGACATCACAGTTTATTAGTGCTGGAATGGACTTTAGTGATCATTATACCCTAATTTACAGAAAACTGAAGTGGTTTAAAAAAATAACATGTTCCTTTTGCACTAAATTTTATTCTTAGTTTTAATTATTATTATTATTTTTTGAGACAGGGTCTCATTCTGTTGCCCAGGCTGCAGTGTAGTGGTGAGAATGTGGCTCACTATAGCCTCTACATCCTGGGCTCAAGTGATCCTCTGGCCTGACCCTCCAGAGTAGCTGGGACTACAGGGTGCACACCAGCATGCCTGGCTAGTTTCTAAAACTTTTTTATAGAGACAGGGTCTCCCATGTTGCCTAAGCTCCTGGGCTAAAGTAGTCCTCTTGCCTCAGCCTTCCAAAATGCTGGGATTACAGGCGAGAGCTACTGGGACCAGCCTTATTCTAACTTTTAAAAATCTTTTCACATATTTCATTTTGTCTTCAAAAGACTCCAGTGATTGGGGTAGAGCAGAAGGTGTTATCTCCTTTTTTTACATATGAAGATATTAAAAAGGTCAGGTAACTTGGTCAATCTAACATACTTAAGAGTAGTTATTAAGTAGCTGTTTCTTTTTTTTAATTAGGGTTTTACTTAATTCTTAGCTCAATTATTTTTCTGTTTGCTCTGACCCCTAGAGAATGGTTTAAATTGGGCTGAAAGCCAGAAGACCTAGAGACGGCCCTAGAGAGATGGCCCCAGAGGCAGTGGTCATTGTGCCATTTGCCGAATGGTGGCTGGAGGCAGGAAAGCAGCCTAGTCTATCTAGTGCCTTGCTCCTCCTGTTAGAAAGAGAACCTAACTAATCCCTGTAGTCCCATGCCTAACATTAAAGAAATGTTTCTACTTTGTTAGGTAGGACAGCCTGACCTTGGGGTGTGAGTGAAGAGGGTGGGGCTCACCTTGATCCCATCCTTGGCTCCTTCCTGTAGATAGGGAATGATAGAGTTGTTCCACAGGTCAATGAACCAGGTCCGGAAGTCCTCAATGCCAATGGGACAGGACAGAAAGAAGCAAGGGCCTAGGGAAGAAGATGAGGCCATGAAGATGGCTGGGAACCTACATCTTCCCGGTTGTGTGCCTCTTTTACTCCTTAGTACCAGGCAGAGGGGTCTGACAGCCAAAGGATTAAAGGAAACATAGAATTGTCAAGACGAGTGGATGCTGACTGCCTAGACGGCAATCTCGTTAAGTCCTGCTTCACAAGGAAGAAGTGAAATATGAGATAAGGGAGTGAGGAAAGCTGTTAAATTCCCTCCTATATATGTTCCCTCCTTTTTTCTGTTAATTGTGGGGAAAAAACCAAGGAGAGGGGTTAGCTTTCCGGTGATTGAAACGGTGCTAACTGTGTTGGGAAGACTTGTTAAATGGTTCTATGTCTGAAGCCACAAGGATTGCAGCTCCTTTACATGCTGAAGACTCCAGGAAGGAAAGAGAGCATCCCTCCAGGTGGTACAGTGGAAAAGGAAAGCCACCTCCTGACCCCCAGGGGGAAGCTGGACCCCAGTACCGATGAGGAAGTCTGAGGTGCTGTGCTTCTCAAGGAAGGTGTGGAGATGATACCACAGCTTGGGTACCCAGTCGAGCACCCGAAGCAGCTCTTCCTTGTTGGCATTGATGTCGCTGTCTGACTCTACCAGCTTCCTCCTCAGGTAACGAACCAGGAAGCCATTGGCTGGCTCCACGTTGTTGGAGAAGGTCAACATCCTGCCACCAAGCATGGGGAAAGTGGGGTCAGAGTGGCAATGGGGACATTATCAGGGTTCAGCCCCGGCCAGTCTGTCCCTCCTTCTGCCTGCTTCTCACTAATGCCTACTTGGTTTCTATTCAAGTAATAGTGGGGACATCTGAGTTCAGAGCAGCAGCCCTGGGGTGGTAGAGCTGATTCTCAAATTGGTAGCCCTCTTCAGATAACCTTCTGATACCGCTGACCCAGATCAGCGTGTGTGGGCAGAGAATCCTAATTCTGCTTAGAGCAGCCTACCTGGCTCTCTCTTAGCTTTGCAGTCCTTTTCTCTCCACAAGTGTCCTCCTGTACCTTCTAACTGACATTTCAAATACATCTACTTTCTCTTTCCAGCCCAAAAAGCTCTGGCTACTTCTCTTTCCTTCTCCTGTCTACTGCCTTCTGGCCAGAGTCCAGAACTGAAGACTCTTGGGTAGGGTCAGAAGGTTCCTCCAGGGCCACAGTACTTACCTGAAGCTCAAGTGCAAGCCATGGTTGGGTGTCATTTTGACAGGCTGATTGGTAGTACCTATAATATAGGGACTGTAGGAGGAAAGGGAAAAAAGATTCACTTAGACTTGCCTTTACACTTGCTTTCTGCCACGTGCACACAACTCATAGGTTGTCCTGGACTGGGTTCTCCCTCCTCCCACTTCAGTGAGTTTTGTCTTGACCCCAGCTTACTTACCATTTATGATACTTGCAGGTGAGGGCCCCATTGACCAACTCACTGATGGAGCCTGCTTCACTCAGGTCATCCAATAGGATCACCAGGGGCACATCCCCAATTCCTGTTTCCCGGTCTATCTGGTTGGCCAGGTTGGAAAGATACAGTTGCAGATCCTGGAATAAAAGAAGACTGTGGGTCCACACTTGGGAATAAGCAGTTGGATTAGCCCTGGAAAGCAGGATTTTGAAGAAGTTTTACTAGATCTAGATTCCCCTGGGGCCTGTAGTTATTTGGAAATTTGATTATAGAAGCAGAATACCACAGAGTGATAATCAGTGGTTCCAAAGGCTCTAAAGCAACCCTCTTAAGCAGCAGCCCCTAAATTCTCCAAAGTTGGGGAACATAGGCTATTTCCTAGATGGATTTTCACTGGTACCATGGACTACTATTAAGGGGCATGGTGCCCTCCCCCCCCCCCCCCCAGCTGGGAAGAGCAAAGATTTGAACCAACTCCATAGTATTAGGGTGTGCTCAAGAGGCATCAGGTTTTGGCAGGGGAGGGCACAGTATGTACCATTTAATTCCGAGTGCTTCTTCCCAGAGAGCCCAAGGTCAGAGAGTAATACTGAAAAGAAAGGTCGGAGGAAGAGAATGAAGGAGAAGGGATGGGATTGACGGGGTTGGCAGAGTGAGGTGGAAATGAGAAGGATGCAGTTTCATCAGGGGGAGGTGTGGAAAGGAAAGCCTTTCTCCACAAAGGCAAGGGGAAGTGTGGAGAAACAAGTTAAGGGCAAGAGGCTGGAAAGAAATTGTGGGGAGGAAAAGGAGAAGACTGGAAAGGGGGATAGATGGAAAGGAAATGAACACAGAAGAGGAGGAGAAAGATAAAGGTGGAGGTGAGAAAAAGGGAACTGAGGCAGGAAGGGGCCAGGGACAGGGGCTTGGGGAAGGCTGAGGCATGAACAAAGACTGGAAGGGTCTCAGCGGGCAGCCACCTTGCAAGACTGCTGGTGCATGTTGAAGGTGCTGACGATGCCCTCCGTGACCTCGCGGCCAGAGCGCTCTACCAGGTACTCGGCCAAGCGATTGGTCAGGTAGGTCTTGCCCGTGCCGCTGGGGCCCGAGAGGACGAGGCGCCGATGCTTCAGCAGGAGGCTTATGTAGTGCTGCATCATCGGCTTGGGGATCAGCGTCTCAAACACCAGGCTGTCGACGCATTTCTCCTTCAGACCTGAACCCCACCCCAGAAAGCACAAGTCTTGACCAGGGTCCTGAGGATAGCAAGGGACCCTAAAGAGCTTTTCTTTTTTCATCTAGGAGCTCCCTGAAGAAACTGAGAGCCACTTGCCCCATGGTTCCATAGGAGTCCCCTAACTCCTAGTTTTGAAAACTTAGATCTCCTTTTTAGGGGCATGCTCTGAGCTGGGGGTGAGGAGTGGAGTAAGAAGCCAGGGCTTAGCAAAAGTGCCCCTGGGAGCCAAAGTTAGGACTGGGTCTTACTCATCTTTTGATATCTCACATTACTTAAGCACCTTCTTCACATTATACCTTCTCAGTGAGTTCTTGCTGAGTGAATGCATGACGGATTATTTGGTGATGATCCTCTCCCTGCCTTCATGCCACACCACCTCACCCCAAGACACAAAGACTGACCTTTGAGGGAGACTGATATGTTATTGACACCTCGACGGCAAGGTGGCATCTCAGGGGGCTCTGCATCCAACACGCGTTTCACGTGGCTGATGCTATAGCCATGGATAGACTCTGTGCTTAGTCCCAGGGTAGAGGCTGGGTCCATTTTAGAAATATAATCCTGACGGAAGAGACGGGGAGAACAAGAAGAAAAGATACAAGCACAGGTGTAAAACCACAAGAAAGAATGAAGTAGATGGAGAAAGAGCAGAGCATATGCTTTTCCTAGGTAGCATTTCTCCATAAAGCCTCAAAAGTCCCCAGGATCCCAGCGCCTGGATGGTTTAATATCCTGTGAGAAGCCAGGCTTGGTGGCACATGCTTGTAATCCCAGTTACTCCGGAGGCTGAGACAGGAGAATTACTTCAGCCCAGGAGTTCAAGGCTGCAGTGAGCTGTGATCGCGTCACTGCCCTCCAGTCTGGGTGACAGAGAGATAGGGTGACCTTATCTCTAAAAAAGCATATATATCCCATGAGAGGATGAGCAACCTTTTTGAGTCCAGGTATCACTTTACCTTGAATACTTGGAAAACAGCTTCATCCAGCATCTTCCAGTCAACTTTTCCACTGACTTTGCTACATCCCAGGAAGAATTCCTGCTGCTTCAAGTCCTGTAAGGCCAAGGTAGGAAAAACGCTTGAGCTTCACTGCAGACGACTCAGTGAACAGGAGGTCCTGAAGGCCTTGGAGTTGAGTTCTTTGGTTTGGAGGTACCCAGGGCCCCGATTTTCTTGGAGAAATCTAGCAGTATTATGTTCATGCCCACAGTGGCTCTCGCTGAAGCTTCTTACCCCTTTGATGATGTGCTGTGGAGGCATCCTCACCACCACCCGAAGGGTCACTTCCTCCTTGGGACCACAAGTACTGATGCCATCCATGGGTGACAGGTCTGTGGGGATTGGAAAGAACCATCTAGTTTTAGGAGTACCCGCAGCCTTTCCTAAACTTTCCTATCATTACC